CACATGTGAGCACGCACACATGCACACACACGCTGCCTTTGCGAATTCTGTATCTTTATGTACTCAAAATGATGGATTTGTGCTGATACCTCTAGTCCAATCCATTACCACAGAGTTCATTCCAATTTTCTTCTTTTCAGTGGTGGGACCAGCAGTTAGCATAATGGCTATGTCGTTGAACTCCCACATAGTTGACCGCGGTTCGAGTCCTGGACCCTGTGGCTTAAACTCACACCCAGGCACGTGTGCATGTGTGCCCAAGATCCCGAGAGGAGAATGGAGGAGAAGGGATTGCGGCATGGCCATCCCCACTGGGGGGTGATTTTTCGCTTTCTGTCTCTATGTCTCTCTCTATCTTTCTGGCGAGCACATGTGCCCTACAGCAAAATATAAAACTCAAAAAAAAAATATTTCAATGTTGTCCTTCTTCCACACAGTCTTGAATTTAGGGTATTTGGATGTCCTTCTCCAGATTCCAGTCCACGCTGTAATCTCCTGGACTCTTGCGTCTGTGGTCCAGTTTCTACGTTGCTCCTGGGCTGTTAATACAGAGAGGTCTTCCCTCACTCCTTAGATTGAAAGTTAAAAGATGGTGGCTACCGGGGGACCAGCAGTTGGCCAGTAATGGCTCTATCGCTGGACTCCCATGTAGTTGACCGTGGTTAGAGTTCCGGACCTGGTGGCTTAAACTCAGCTGGGCATATGTGCGTGTGTGCCAAAGATACCGAGAGGAGAATGAAGGAGAAAGGATTGGGGCATGGCCATTCCCCTGGATGGGAGGTGATTTCTCGTCTTCTGTCTCTCTGTCTCTCTCTGTCTTTCTGGAGAGTGCATGCGCCCTATAGCAAAAAAGAAAAAGAAAAAAAGATGGTGGCTACCAAACCAAAGCCTACCCTGAGAACTGCCTATGAAAATTTTAAATTAGATACTAACATTTCAGAAATGTGAGTTTTGATATGAAACCCTAGATTTACAGCTTTTCTTGGAAGAAAATGGATGGTTTGTTAACACTTGGTTCATCTCCTCACATGTCAGCAATCAACCGGGGCCAGCACCAGCTGACTCCTGGCTTCCATTCACTCAAGTTGCCTCTCAGCCCACTCCACCATTTGCATTAAGCTCCAGTCTCCCTAGACATCTGGGTTTGCAACCCCTTGTCCTAAAGAGCCCCCTCCTCTCATTGCCCCCTTCCAGGCTCCTACCACTTGCTTTAGGCTACCCACACAAACTCAAAATTCCCCTCACTTTCATTGTACTTAATAATTCAGCTTTCTCTAGGAATCTTGCTTACACACCTAATCACCCAGCCCAGCGATCAGCAACCTTTTTCTATAAAGAGCCAGATAGTAAACATTTTAGGCTATGCAGGCCACGTAGTTTCTTTGGCAACTACTCGATTCTGTTCTCCTACCTCAGAAGCAGCTATTAGAGAAATGTAATTAAAACCCAATCTGCTGCCAACCCGGAAAACCTCTCCACAATGTAGAAGAGAAAGAAGAGTTTAATTATTGAATACACATTAAGCCAGAATGTGATGCTTATCTACTGAAAAGATTTGAAAGGTAGAAGGAAGTCTGACAGACATTGTCACCCACCCTATAGCCACACTCATATCATACCCCAGGCCCTCCCTAACAGTGTTTTTCCTTAAGTAACAGAATGCATGCCAATAGTTAAGATAAGACCTCTAGGGAACCAGCAGATGGTGTAATGATCATGTCGCTGGACTCCCACATAGTTGGCCGTGGTTTTGAGTCTTGGACTCAGCAGCTTAGAACTCACGCTGGTCGCATGTGTGTGCGTGCCCAAGCTCTCAAGAGGATGATGGAGGAGAAGGGACTGAGGCATGGCCACTCCACCATATCTAATAAAAAAACTAAGACCTCTACTCAAAAGCCTAGCATGAGCCAGCAGGAACCAAAATGGTGCCTGGGAAGACTATTGCCTAACCTTCAAACTCACCATACCCTCCTGGTTCTGCATTAGCATGCTCCACAGCACACCTACCAGCACCATGGTCTCCAGGGTTATGACCAGAAATGGCCTTATAAGGAGAAACATGAGGTTACAGGATTCCAGGAAATTCTCGTCTTTTCCAAGAAAAAGCATATTCCTCCCCTCTGTGGCCCTCTTCCATCCACTCATGACTCCATTTGCTATATCTTAAACTCTCCAGCTCAAGATGAGCGAGAAGTAGGTTTATGAGCTGGACTCCTGCTTCTGCACCCCTTGGACATTGAATAAATCTTGTGACATGACACTAGTTGACCAATGTTGGAGTCAACTAATGCTGACTCCATGACGCTGAACGGCAAATGATCCCATCTTTGGGAAAACATTAAAATTGGTAGTCATACATCTCATCATACATGTTACCAAGATAAATGATAGCTAGTCGTCAAGAGGACTTGATAATACCATTTGTCATACATGGTTCCTCTAAATTCACCTGGTAATTAGGGCCACCATCTGTCTTAACTAATTGACCATATCCAAAGGAATAATAAAATTTCTCATGCCTCGATGACAGGTGGGTAGTTAAGACTTGGACCTAGATACCAGCTGAAGGCAGGAGCCCAAGGAAACTGGGAGATAAGGGAATTCAATGTCCCACAAAGAAAATCTCATTATAGAAATATCAAATTTTTTTTAAAAACTTACCTCTATCAATTTACCTCTATCAATCATCACCCAACTAAAAACATTTCCTAAGTCTGTCCTTTTCCCACCTTACCTATATATATTCACGGGTTCTTTTCCAGTCATAATGGAAGTGTTTGTTCAATTTGGTATTCTTCCTTTTTCTTTTTTCTTGTTTTTTTAAAGAGATGTTTTTGCTTGCCAGAGAGACAGAGAGGTAGAAAGACAGAAGGTGAGAAATCATTGCCAAGGGAGTGACCACGCCACAATCCCTTCTTCTCCATTCTCCTTTCAGGATTTTGGACATGCACGCACACGCACCCAGCGTGAGTTTTAAGCCACCAGGTCTGGGACTCAAACCACGGTCGACTACATGGGAGTCCAGCAATGTAAATATTATGCCATCTGTTGGTCTCTGTATTCTTCCTTTTATATAATATGATTTAACCAAATATTTTCTATGTCTTGTATCATCTTTACATTCATCATTTTAGTATATCACTAAAATATGTCATTTTGACATACCATAGTTGGCTTCTACCTACCTGCATTGTCAGGATCTTAGCTTTCTTCAAGTGTTTACTATCATAAAATAAACATACGTATATATTTTTGGGTTTTATTCAATATTATTTCCTCAGGATAGATTCTATTACTTGGTCAGAGGTTAGCATATTTATGATTCTTTCAATAAAGTACCATTTTGCCCTTCAGATAGACTGGATCAATTTACATTGCTATCATTAATGCATGAGCATATCTGCTTTCCTGAAGCCTTGCAGGCTTTGACTTTTAAACTTTTTAAAAGTTTTTCTAATTCTTTTTTAGTTACAAAATGAAGCTTCACAGTAGGTTTAATTTGAAACTATTTTACCAACAAGATTGACTGCATATTTTTAAAATCATGATGGCCTTTCTTCTTCTTGAACTGTCTTTTAATTCTTTGTTTAATGGACAGGGGTTATTTTAACCTATTTGTACGTTCTCTTGATACTTTTTAGTTATTGAACTTTTGTCTTTATGTGCAAATATTTTCTCCACTCTTCTGAATTTTTAAATTGCAACTTCATTTGTATTCATTCCATCAAAGCTAAATCTGTAATGAACCTGTCCATCTTTTTTTCATTTCCATTCCATCAGTGGTCAAAAAGTGATTTCCCCTAGTACTAGTCTTTTATAAATGTGTATTTGTTTTTATTTTTAAGGATTTAACTCTTGATCCACCGTGAATTTATTCATAGAGTGTGGAGAGCCACATGCACCAAAATGGCTGAAATGACTTTCACACGATGACCTCTGGACTTCCCTGTTCCAGGAGTAAACAATCCGCCCCTAGGCTCCCCAACCTAGCTAACATCCGCAAGCAGCTTCTCAATCAGGTCCCGAGACAGCAATCCACCCCTAAGCCCCGCCCCCTGGTTAATGCCCCCTGACAAAACAATCAACTACTGGTCCAAAATATATCCTTCATTTACATATTGGGCAACCAATTACCACCCTGCTGTGTATATAAGAATGTTCTCTGGTCCTCAATAAACAAGCGACCGTATACCATTCAGGACTGTGACACTGTGTCGCTCCCGTGTTGTGACGCTGTGCCAGTTCCAGACCTCCACTCTCTCACTCAGGTAACCTGTTCGATTGTCCCGCAGCCGGGACAATAGAGTGTGTTGGAAAGCATGGTCTTTTAAATACTCTTGTTATTGTTATTTCTTCTATACCATGGGTCAAACTGGTTACCAGTACATTTTTTTAAAGATAATGTATTTATTTCTTCTGAGAGAGAGAGAAGGACAGAAAGACAGGTACCCTGAACAGGATCTTCTCACCACAATCTACCCCCAGCCTCAGCCAGCCGGGATCATGGGTATGTATGTGTGCCCAGCATGCACCGTGAGGTCCCAAAACTCAGACCCAGGACTTTCTCAATCAGGTCCAGTTGTGTTACTGCTACAGCACTGCCTGGGTCCCTACCAGTATTTTTTTTTTAAAGTTTATTTGTATGTTTCTTCTATGAGCGAGAGAGACAGAGATAGAAGCGTCCCCAGGAGGGTTCCTATGCTGCAATCCACTCCCAGCTTTAGCTAACTCCTGATCATGGGCACACGTGCACTCAGCACACTCAGGAAATCTCCAGACACAAACCCGGAACCTTCACCTGTGGGTCAACCTCAGGGACCATTGCACTTTACCATTATGCCACTGTCTGCGCCCCGCCCCCCAACCCAGTACATTCAATGTGTTCTAGGACAAATTCTTCTCACGATCCTTCTTGAATTTGAAATAGCCTTTGATATTCCTGTCCATTTATTTTCCCATATGAGATAAAATTTATATGAATTTTAGGAAGCCTCTTCATTTGAACTGGTGGCTGATCACCTGAATCCAATGACGGACTGAGCAGAGTCGAGGCTGAGTTGCAGCCTGGTAAGCCTCAGTTTACCTTGATTTCATTCCTGTCTCTTCAGGATTTTCAATTAAATCCTAGTATATTCTTCATTCCCCTCCCCCTGGCGAGTCCCTTTGTTTTCAGATGATTTCTGAAGCCTCTATTCTGCTTCTAATTTTAGATTCTAGGCTGGTGCTCCCCCAGAATTTACCAGAAGTTCTCTGAGGACTTTCCAGATCTCCAAAAGCCCTGCTGGTCTCTGCCTCTCAGAAGTGGTCTTCCATGGATGCCAGGCCTGGGGTTTTCAGCCTTTGGGCCATGCATGGATGCAGCAAATGTTCCCTGGTAAAGTGGCCACAAAACTCAGCTCTTGGGAACCAGCAGATGGTGTGGTGGTTAAGGTGCTGGACACTCCCACATGACCAACCACAGTTCGAGTCCCGGACCTAGCAACTTCCTTTGGATTGAAAGCAAGATTTGTGTGGTCTAGGGAGCTTCCTTCGCGTTTATGTACCTTTCTGCTCCTCTTTACAGTGTTTTCTTCTTTATTCATCGAAGAGCATATACACAGTGCACGTTTTAATTTGACCACACACACACACACACACACACACACACACACTGAGAGAAAGTGAGAAAGCAAGCCACCAGGTTCAGGACTCGAACTATGGTTGGCCATGTGGGACTGTCTAGTACCTTAACCACCATGCCACCTGCTGACCCATTGTTTGTCTGTTTTAATTTGCCAGAGGGTGTGTGTTTGAGAGAGAGAGAGAGAGAGAACCACCCATGACGCAGAATCACACCGTGATCCCTTCGTTCTTCCCCACCTCTCCCTCCTGTCAGGATTTGGGGCACAGAGTCACATGTTCCTGGCATGATTTTCAAGCTGCCACATCCAGGACTCACTGTATGGTCAACCATGTGAAAGCCAGATCCCTTAACCACTAAGCCATGGGGCTGCCCCGATTTTTTGTTTGTTTGTTCATTTTTACTTTAATTTTATTCGTTCCATAAATAGAGCTCGCTGACAGAGTACTGATGCTGTGACCTATCCCGAGCCTTTCGCCAGTCCCATGTCATGGGCGTACATGTGCCCAGTGCACCCAGGAGGTCTCCGGATGTGAACCAGCAACCTTCTCTCGCAGCGTTACCTCACAGAGTACAGAGTTTTACCTCTGCTCCGCTGTCAGGTTCTTTTCCAGTTCGTATTGATGTAGCAGCTCCTCTCTGCCATAAATAGATGCTTTCTCTATTTTGCTCTGATTTCCTGTTTGTTTTAGATGGGAACTCCGTCTGCCACTAGCTAATTCATCCCACTTGAAAACAAGTTTATTTCACATTAAGCATTTTCATTTTACCTTCTTATATTTTAAAACCCCAGAATCTTTATTTGCTTGCTTGTTTGTGTGTTTTGCTATGGGGTATGTGTACTGGCAAGTGCAATCCAGTGCACTCAAACCCAGGAGTCAGCCAAGTGCAATCCAGTGCACCAGCCACCATGCCACCTGCTGGTATAAAGACCCAGACATTTAATTGTGTTTGATATAGTCCTCAGGAAAGCCTACCCTGGCCTCTTGGATTCAGATAAGTACACTTTCTAGTACCTTCTACTTCTCTCCAAGGAAGCGGTGATTCTGCTAGTAGACTGCTTTGGACTCAAACTGCAACTCTTCCCTGAGTCTCCAGCTAGCTAGCCTACCCCATATTATATATTTTGGCCTTGCCTAGTCTCTACAATCCTGGGAGCCTGTTCTTTAAAATAAATTTCTCCACATATGAAAACATCCTATTGGTTCTGTTTCTCTAGCGAACAGTGATTAATACACATATTTACTTTGTGGGACAAGTTACAAGGGTTTTTGTTTTGGTTTGGTTTTGGAGAGGTTTTGGCTGTAGGGCGCGTGCACTCGCCAGGAAGACAGAGACAGAGAAACAGAAAGCGAGAAATCACTCCCCAGGGGGGATGGTCACGCCGCAATCCCTTCTCCTCCATTCTCCTCTCGGGATCTTGGGCACGCATGCACACACGCCCAACTTAAGTTTAAGCCACCAGGTCCGGGACTCGAACTGCAGTCGACTACATGGGAGTTCGGCGACATAGCCATTATGCCAACTGCTGGTCCCTTTTTAATTTTTCTCTTAAATTTTTATAACTGAAGGGCAAAAATGATCCAGAAGCTCTTACAGCAAAATACGGTTAAAAGTTGTAGTAGATATGAAATGCATACATAACTTGCATTCTTTTTCTTTTTTTCAAGGGTCAGGCAGTGGAGCAGCAGTAATGCAGCTGGGCTCACATGGTTTCAGCTCCAGAATCTCCCCGAGTATGACTGGGACACGTGTGTGCCTGTGATCTGGACTGGCTGAGCTTAGGGATGGACTGTGGTGTGAAGACCCTGTTGGGGGCACCTGTCTCTCTGTCTCTTCATTTCTTTAAATAAATAAATACTTCAAACATTAAAATTAGGGACCAGCAGATTCTACAGTATGGCTACTTCCTTGGAGAATGTGGAATGGAGAGCACATGGAGTGTTCTGGGGTCCTATGGGTGTCTGTTCACACCGCAGAAGGACGGGGCTCAACCAAAGTGACTCACTTACCCTCCATCAGCGACAGAAACCTGACTCACCTTCAAAATGGATAGAGTGGTGGCCACAGCCCACTCTTGGAGATGACTGCCAGAGGAGGGACCGTGTCAAATAACCTGAACTCTCCACCCTTCCTGAAAGGGGAGCTAAGGATTCTCCTAGGGCAAAGATTTGTGTTGAATCCATGTTGATACTCCCTTTTTTAAATTTGGTAATCACTTTGCTTATAGATTTTAAATTTATTATCTATTTCATCTTTCCATTTGCTTTTTATTTTCTTGGTAAGAGGGCATATACACTTGCCAGAGAGACTGAGAGAGAGGGAGAGGAAGAAATCAGCCATCAATGGGGCATGGTCATGCTACAATCCCATCTCTTCCATTTTTTCCATCTTGTTGGAATTTGGGGCAAGCATTAACATGTGCCCAATATGTTTTCCAAGCTGGGACTGGAATTAAAACTATGGTTGGCCAAGTGGGATCTGATTCCCTTAATCATCAGCCTACAGGGCTGGCCCTCTTTTTATTTTGTTTTATGTGTTTTTGATTGTGCCTTATCTGAAGGATACCTGAAGACCCTGACTTGCTCTCCAAGTGGTTGCTCCAGTTTACATTTTCACCAGTAACGTGGGAATTCTAGTTGTCCCACATTCACATCAATACTCGATATGAGGAGGCTTCAAAACTTTTGCAGAAAAACAGAATTAAAGTATGAGTAAGCAAAAAAGAAAAGAAAAAGAGTATGAGTTTATTTTGGCACAATAAGTGAAGTCCATGCATAATTTTTCATAATATTTAGCATTTTTCCATGAACTTTTTAAAGATTGTCAGGTCTTTGCATTTCCATACGCTAATAGATACAAGATAATATTGCACCATTGTTTTAATGATGTTGATCATTAAAATTATTGGGGCCAGCAGATGGCCTGGTAGCTAAGGTGCTGGACTCCCACAGGGTGGACCTAGGAGGAGAATGGAGGCAAAGGGATTGTGGTATGACCATCCTCCCTTAATTTCTCACTTTCCTTCTCACTGTCTCTCTCTCTGGTGGGGGTGCACACCTTATGTCCAAAACCTTAAATACAAACAAACAAACAAAAAAAAACACAACTATTTACTGGTCATTCCTGTTTCCTCTTCTGTGAATTGTCTTTTCATGCTCTTGATTATATTTTAGTGAGGATCCTTGCTTTTTCTGTTGACTCATAGGAGTTCTTTAATATTATCTGGATGTCACTCCCATACTGGTTATATGCACTATAAATCTCTTCTTCCAACATGTCACTTGTCTTTCTCGCCTTATTTATTACTTTTTAAAATGATTATACGGAAGTTGTAAAAGTTTAAAGGATATTATTTGCTTTTAAAATAAGTAATACATTCATGAGATTCAGAAGTATGAAAGTATGCAGTGAAAAATCTCTCCCCTACTCCATCTAACCTTCTAGTTTCCTTACTTGCAGGAAAAAGAATGCAAAAATGCTGTGAGGCTGCAATAAATAACCTTGCACACATATCATTCCTAACTTTCATCTGTGTGACAAATTCCTAGCAGTGGAATTGCTAAGCCAAGGATATGTACACTTGTAATTTTGATAGTTGTTGCCAAACTGCCCTCCATAGAGATTGTGCTAGGTAGGTTCCCCTCCCCCCAATAAACACTGCTTGCTCCCCCACACACACTCTGCCACTTTCACTAGCACTGAGTGTTACTGAAGTGGTCTTTGCCAGTCTAATCAGTTAAACGGGTGAAGAATACCTTTGAAATGTGCTTTTTTTCCCCCCCTTCATTCATGACTGAGTGCAGGCAAAATGCATATGACAGACAGACAGACAGATATTCAGAGACAAGCACCCTTTACAGGCTTTGATCATGCCATAATTTCCTTCTTCCAATCCTTTAGTCTGTCTAGTCTGGAGCACTCACATGCATGCCTGGAGAGTTTGGGCCAACTGGTCAGGGATTTGAATATTGGTTGCCATGATCTAACTTTTTCTTTCCTTTTTTTTTTTTTTTTGGCATAGGTGTACACTTGCCAGAGAACAGAGAAAGAGAGAGAGGTAGAGACAGAGAGAGAAAGTGAGAAATCACTCCCCGGGAATGATGGCCACACCATGGTCTCTTCTCCATTCTCCTCTCAGGATTTTAGGCATGCACGCACATGCCACTCAGCATGATTTCCAAGCTGCTAGGTCTGGAACTAGAACCACATGGTCAGCCCTGTGGAATCCAGCTGCCTTAAACTCCACGTCAACTGCTGGCCCTCTTTTTTTTTTTTTTAACCTGTTTTTGATTACCAGAGGGGGAGAGTGTACCCCTCAGTGGAATGTGCCCAGCTTCAATCCTTTTTCCATCAGGATTTTGGGCACACAGACACATGGGCCCAGCATATTTTCCAAGCAGTCTAGGCCAGGATTCACAAGGGAGATGGCCATAGGGGATTTGGCTCCTTCACGCAGCACTTTAGGGGCTGCCAGGATCCAGCTTTTTGTGAGCTGTGTTTTATTGTTGCACCATTGGGAGCTGGCCCTGAAATTGTATTTTATTTTATTTATTTTTCGAGTAGGAGATACAAGGTATAAAACTGGTAAGGAACAAAAAGGCTGGAAATAAAAATAAAGTCTCTCTTGCACCCTTTTTCCATAGCACCCATTTCTCTCCCACAGAGGGAACCACTGCTACTGGCTCTGTCTTCTTATTTTTCCATCCAGGGATATGCTATACATAGCCAAATATGTGTGTGCATATGAGAAAATTTCTCTTATTTGGTTAGACTTGTGTTTTCTTTTGCACCATCATCTGTAATGATCAGAGGCTCTTGGCAAAATTGATGATTAGAAATATCTTGGGACCAGCAGTTAGCATAGTGGCTATGTCGCTGGACTCCCATGTAGTCGACTGTGGTTCACGTCCTGGACCCGGTGGCTTAAAACTCACACCGGGTGTGTGTGCATGCGTGCCTGAGATCCCAAGAGGAGAATGGAGGAGAAGGGATTGTGGCATAGCCTCTCCCCCGAGAAGTAATTTCTCACTTTCTGTCCCTCTGTCTCTCTCTGTCTGTCTGGCGAACGCATGCACCCTATAGCAAAAAAAAAAATGCCTTTTGGGGGACAAAAAGATGGTGTAATGGTTATGTAGCTGGACTCCCCTGTAGTCAACCACAGTTTGAGTCCTGGACCCAGCAACTTAAACCTCATGCCAGGTGTGTGTATATGTGTGCCCAGAATCCCAAGAGGAGAGTGAAGGAGAAGGGATTGTGGCATAGCCTCTCCCCCGAGAAGTAATTTCTCACTTTCTGTCTCTCTCTGTCTCGCCAGTGAGCACATGCACCCTATAGCAAAAATCTCTCTCTTAAAAAAAAAAAAAAGGAAGAAGAAAAGAGAAAAAGAAATAAAGAGAAGACGAAAAGGAAAAGGAAAGAGAAAAAGAAAAAGAGAAAGGGGAAAAAAAGAACGAAAAAGAAATATCTTTCTAGGGTGCAGCAGGTGGCATACTGGTTAAGGTGCTGGACTTCCACATGGCTAATCACTGCTACAGTCCTGGACCTAGTAAAATCACACTGGGCACGTGCATGTACATGCCCAAAATCTCAGGAGAAGGAATTATTACATGGCCACCCTCCCAGGGAGTGACTTCTCCCTTTCCCCCTCACTATCTTCTCTCTGATGAGCACACAAGCCCTATGACAAAATCTTTAAAAAATGTATTTTTCTATTGAAATTTTAAAAACATTACCCATTAAGCCTCTAAGGTTAATTCTCAAAACCAGAAACCATTCTGATTTGAATTAACCATTGTTCTTGCAATTTCTAATTTATATATAGTTGTATGTCTTTGCAGGGTATAGTGTGGTCTTCAAAACACGTATACAATGTGTCACGATCAAATCAGGACAATAAACATACTCACCATCAATCAGATGAAAGCTAAAACCATTTTGTTGAAAAATCAGCAAATTCAGGTAACCCAAGTATTTGTGGAAAAGCGTCCGGATAGTTTATTGACCATATTAGTATTGTGTAGACAGCTTTGAACATTCCCATCTCATAGACTCTCATTGTGGAATAGTCCATTTATTATGGATTCACTTTTACTGTGTTTTGTATGTAAAAAATAAATACTCAATTAAAAAAACAAACAGAGGCTTGCAGGTGGTGTGGTGGTTGAAGGAGCTGGACTCCCACATGGCCAACGGCAGTTCAAGTCCCAGACTTGGTGGTTTGCTTTCTCACTTCCTCTCTCTCTCTCTCCTCTCTCTCTCTCTCTCCCTCCACACCCCCGGGCAGATTAAAATAAATAAATAAAGTTAAATTTAAAAAAATGCTATCTCCAACATTTATCATTACTTTGTGTTGTGTACATTAAAAATCTGCTCATCGGGATGAGCAGTGAGTTTAATGGCTATGTCGCTAAACTCTCATGTAGTTGACTGCAGTTTGAGTCCTGGACCTGGTGGCTTAAACCCCTATCTCTCACCATGTAAAAAAATTCACTCTAAGTGGATGAAAGGCTCTAATATAAACCTCAAATTCATAAAGTGACTAGGTGAAAACAAAGGGGAAATGATTCAGGACACTGGTCTTGGCAAAGATTTTTAAAATAAGTCCTCAAAAGTATGAGTAATAACACCAAAAAAAAAGACATTAAACTAGAAAGCTTCTGCATAGCATAAGAAATTATCAGTAGAGTGAAGAGAAAACCTACAGAATGGGAGAAAATAGCCAATTATCTATTTGACAAGGGATTAATAACCAGATTATGTAAGAAATTCAAACAGCTCACC